GGGAGCCAGCGACGGGAGCTGTAGTGTTGGCAGGACCAGCAGCTGGAGCGGAGGCTGTTGGTGCAACCCTATGGCTTGCACTCGGCTTGTCGTCCTTGTTTGTGTGTGTGCATGCATGGCATGGAAAGATTTGTGAGTCTATGTCATTGCTATCTAGTGCTTGTTTGTGAGTTTGGATGGTGTATCACAATGTGGTTTGTGTTGGTCAAGACATTAGCGAGTTTTTACAACTCGCATGTCAAGTCGTCGTTTGCGTGTCGCATGTGTTTTTTCTATTTTGTCTAGTGTGAAGTGTCCATCGCGTCGCAGGTGTGTGCAGCAAGCCCCCATCAACTCAAGAAGAATTTATCTTGCAGAACCAAGACCAAGAGCTTAAGATTTCAAGCCCAAGGGACACGGATAAATATTAAATAGTGAAAATAGTAACGCTACTTCGTATAGTGTTACATTTCACTTGGTGTAGCCCCTTGGAGGGTTTGTTTCGAGACTCTTCATGGTTGGGGACTCTGTGGTGGTGTACCACCAACCTGGACCTCGGCTCTTGGGGTATGTAGAGGCTGGGAACCATCTCCATCTCGAACTCTTCTTGCTAAGTTTGGACTTCCAAGACTTTAGTGGCTGCTATACCTCCTGCCAGTCAAACCGCCATAGCGTCGTGAAATCTTCATGGAATTTCATGATTCAACTTGCTGCTCATAGACGACAGCAACGCGCTCCAGATCCAACTTACAGATCACCGTTTGATTCAGTGACCAGATCGTTATCAATATTTGAAGCCGTCTGACGGAAATCCGATTGTGCTCTCTATCTCTCATTATAGGCACATCTGAGCCTATTGTGACTATAACAAGTGGTATCAGAGCCCCTTGGAGCCGTCTCGACCATGCCTAGACCTGAGGAAGAGGGTGGCAGAGGTGCTGGAGGCAGAGAAGACACCAAAGCACAAGGTCAACACCAAGATCCACCCGTTGCTCCGGTGCAACCTAGCCTTGGACCCTCTAGGGATGAGCCTAGAGTGTTTGGCCTTGACAAGTTCAACGGTGACAACTTTGCTGAGTGGTCCTTCAAGATGGAGAACATCTTCGACCACTATAATCTGCTGGAGGTGATGGAAGGAACGGAGAAGCGCCCCGAGAACGACCCGGAGAAGAGCCCGTGGGTGCGGAAGAGCGCACAAGGCTACCTTCTACTTAGGCAAGCGTTGGGGAGCAGCCAAATCCGTCACATCAAGCCTTTTCAGCGTGAACCAGCAAAGGGACCAAAGGCATGGGCTGCTCTCAAGGGTGTACAAGCTCCTGCAACAGCGGCGGTGGCTGTGGTTTTGGAGCGGCAAATGGCGGCACTTCGAATTGACGAAGGCGAACCGGTGGAGGAAGGAGTGCAGAAATTCTTCGACTTGTTGACACGGCTCGAAGGAGCTGATCTGAACTACAGTGACCTTCAAAAGAAGACCAAGCTGCTGGCCTTACTTCTGGACTCATGGTCCTCGCTCATCATCAACCTAAATCGAGATCTGCCCCGTCGAAGATGTGAAGCGGGAAATCTTACAAGAAGATTTCCGCCGTCGCGAATTGGCAGGTCCCGATGGTGCCGGAGTTGCAAGCATGGGCCGTGGGCACGGCCGTGGAAGGGGCAGAGGGCGAGGAGGCAGATTTGGCAGCAGTAACTTCAATGGAGGCCGTGGTAATGGAGGATATGGCAGCAACAACAATGGCTACGGGCGTGGGCGCGGTCGATTTGATGGCGAATGCCACTTTTGCCACAAGACCGGCCACATGTGGAGAGATTGCTTCAAACTACCTGATGGCTGGACCCCTTCTCAAGGCCAAGAGGGCAGAGGAGCAAGGGGAGGAAGAGGCAGAGGTCGTGGAGGCCGTGGTGGTCGTGGAAGCGAAGCGGCAAGCATGAAAGGTGGAGACTACGACAAGGACTCGAGTGAAGATCGATACCCGGGCCAATTCTTCTTTGTCTCCACGCAAGCGGCAGCTGCAGCAGGAGGTGTGGAAGGCTTTGAGGAGCCAGATACTGTGGGAAAGGTCACCTTTCACTCTCTGGACTTTTGGGTGATCGATAGCGGCGCCACCTATAGCATGACACCTCGTGCGGACTTGCTCACCGAACTCGAACCGTCGCCTGTCAAGCATGTTACATCGGCTTTGGGGCAGCGAGCAGAGGTGAAAGGCATGGGCAAGGCCATGTTCAAGGGTGCTGATGGGAAGATGGTGGGCCTCAAGAACGTGCTTTGGGTGCCCAACCTTGCAGCCAACTTGATCTCTGTTCGGCGTTTGCAAAAGGCCGGCATGGACACATCTTCCAAGGGCTCCAAAACATATACCGTGAGGCTTGGTGAGCGGAAGCTTTGGGACCTTCATGAGGACAGGGACATCTACAATGAGATGTGGCAAATCCCAGTGGTCCCCATGCCTAAGGGGAGGCAAGTGGCAGCAAGCGTCAGCACCAAGAGTGAAGCGGTTGGTGGCGGTGATCACGGAAAACAAAGTGACACCAAGAGTGACTCGAAGGAGTGCAACCTTGGAGAGACCAGCAAGGCGTGTGAACCTAAGGAGAGTGGTGCAGCAGCCAAAGGTGGTGGAAATGAGGAGGAGAAGCCTAAGATCAGCAAAGCAGCAGCGGCGAAGGAGAAAGGAGAGAGCTTGGGGGGCACAATTGCGAGTGCCGCTTTCTCCAACCCGACTTCCGCTACGGGAGAGTGTGATTGGCTGACCTTGCATCGGCGAATGGGGCATGTGGCATTGCCCATTTTGCAGCAGATTGTTAAGCAAGAGATGGTCAGTGGGATACGTGTCAAGGGGGAGCCCAATGAGGTGCTTGGCTGTCCAACATGCATGCAAGCCAAGTTCACCCGCTACCCGTTCCATAGCTCGGAGACAACGGCGAAGGCACCACTTGATGAGGTGGTGATGGATGTGGTGGGCCCCTTGAAGCTTGGAGCTGCTGGAGCTGAGTACTTCCTCACCATTGTGGACGTCTACACTCGCATGACTTGGGTGCATGTGCTGCCCAAGAAGAGTGACGTAGCTGAAACGGTGAAGACCGATTGGTTGCCGATGGTGGAGCGGCAACAAGACCGACTTGTGAAGGCGATTCGCACTGACCGTGGGGGAGAGTTCCTGAGCAAGGATTTCTCAACTTGGCTGAAGAAGCAGGGCATAAGGCACTCTCTTACCATGCCCTACTCTCCTGCAATGAACGGCATCGCCGAGCGTGCGAATCGGACACTCACAGAGACGGCTCGGGGACTTCTCATTGATGCCGGTCTTCCCAATTACTTTTGGCCGGATGCGGTGCGACATGCTTGTGTGGCCAAGAACAGAGCCTTGACTCATGTGGGAGAAGACAAATGGGTGCCCTATGTGGAGTGGATTGGAAGGAAGCCGAAGGTGGATATGCTTCGGGTGTTTGGGTGCATGTGCATGGCACTTGTGCCTAAGAAACTTCGGCACAACAAGCTTGATGCCAAGGCAACATGGGCCGTGCACCTGGGCATGGCTCAAAACAGCAAGGGATGGCTTCTTTGGGACCCATTTACCAAGAATTTCTTGGTGAGCAGAGATTGCAAGTTCATGGAGAACTTACCGTACAAGGAGTGGAAGGCGGAGAACCAAGCAAAGATTGGTGTGCGGCTTGGAGAGGTGAAGAGTAACGGCTTGGAGCATGTGGAGCTGCCCTTGGAGCTGAGTAGCAGCAGCACAATCACGAGGCAATCTCCTCAAATGAATGGGGATGAGGAGGAGGAGGAGGTGCAGCAAGGTGATGAGCGTGCACCGTCACTTCCGCCTCGTGCTTCAAGTGCTCGTGGGAACCGACTAGATTTACCGCAACGCCATGAGAGCATTCAAGACCCTGCAGCAGAGGAGGAAGGAAGGGGGAGAAGGAGGACTCAGCCCCCTAATAGGTTGAGCTATGACCGGCTTGGAGGACCAGCCAACTCAACCTTGACCGGTTCGGCTCTCATGCTAGGCGATGATGCGGAAGATGAAAGCGAGGAGTGCGCCTTTGCCTTCTTCTCTCCGGTGGAGATGCCGGGGGAGCCTACAAATCCCAAAGAGGCTTGGGAGGGCCCCAATGGGAAGGAGTGGAAGAAGGCCTCAGATGAAGAAATGGGGAGCATCATCGAGAACGACACGTTTGACTTGGTGAACCTACCTCCGGGGCGTATGGCGATCTCTTCCAAGTGGCTCTTCAAGCGCAAGACCGACGCCGACGGCAACATTGAGCGCTACAAGAGCAGACTTGTAGCCAAGGGGTATCAGCAGCAAGAGAAGAAGGACTACAATGAAGTGTATGCCCCTGTGGTGAAGGGTACAACCCTTCGAACCCTCTTCGCCGCGGCGGCCATCAAAGGATGGGTGGTGAAGCAAATGGATATAGTAACGGCCTTCCTCAACGGCGTTTTGGAGGAAGAAACCTACATGAAGCAGCCAGAGGGATACAATGATGGGAGTGGCAGAGTGTGGAAGCTGAAGAAAGCACTCTATGGCCTCAAGCAAGCCCCTAGGCAATGGTACATCAAGCTGCGGGAAGTCTTGGAGGCGATCGGCTTCACTCCCTCAACGGCCGATCAATCGTTGTTCATGCTTGGCGAGGGGGAGCAGAGGAGCTTCATGGTGGTTTATGTGGATGACATCCTCATATTCTCACCCTCCTCTGACCTTGTGAAGGAGGTGATGCTGAAGCTTCAAGACAAGTTCAAGTGCAAGACCCTTGGTGACGTCAACTACTACCTTGGGCTTCACATTGAGCGAGATGTGGAGAAGCGGTGGATGCGAGTGCATCAAAAGAAGTACTTGGAGGCCTTGGCTGCAAACTTTGGGAAGAGTGAAGGTCATGTGGCTACTCCTCTTCCCTCAGGGTTCAAGTGTGTGAAAGGACCAGCGGAGGAAAGTGTTGGTGAAGAAGAGAGGCGCCGATTTCACTCCTTGGTGGGCAGCCTCATGTATGCGGCCGTTCACACAAGGCCGGATGCAGCCTTTGCTACCGGGCAGCTGGCTAGGGTTGTCCAATGCCCTAATGAAGAGCAGGTAGCAGCTGGAGAGAGTGGCCAAGTACCTTGGCCAAACAGCAACTGTTGGACTGCAATACTCCGCGGCGGCACAAAGGCGTCAAAAGGGGGCGGATGGAGTCGAACCCGGGAGGCTCTTTCTCACCGCCTTCACTGATGCATCTTGGGCATCAGAACCAGAGGACATGACAAGTGTGGGAGGCTTCATCTGCTGTGTTGGTGGGGGACCAACAGCTTGGGAGAGCAAGAAGCAAGTGGACCAAGCATTGAGCTCGGTGGAGTCCGAGTACATGGCACTCTTCCGTGCCATAAGAGAGGTTGTGTGGCAGCGGCGTTTGCTAGCTGAATTGGGGGAGGAGCAGCAAGGACCTACCCCACTCTACTGTGATAGCCAAGGTGCTATTGCATTGGCTAAGAACCCCGTTCTTCATGGCCTTACCAAGCACATGAAGGTGAAGTGGCATTGGGTGAGGAGCATGGTAACCGCGGGTGAAGTGGAGTTGCACTACGTGAAGACGACGGCGCAACCAGCTGATATGATGACCAAGAGGCTGGTTGAGCAGCAGCATTGGAAGTGTTGCAAGCTTGCGGGGATGGCTCTGAACTAAGGGGAGCAGATTCTAAGGCCAACAATCCGAGGGGGAGTTTCTTGGTGCAACCCTATGGCTTGCACTCGGCTTGTCGTCCTTGTTTGTGTGTGTGCACGCATGGCATGGAATGAATTGTGAGTCTATGTCATGGCTATCCAGTCCTTGTGTGTGTGTTTGAATGGTGTGTTACTATGTGGTTTGTGTCGGTCAAGACATTAGCGAGTTTTTACAACTCGCATGTCAAGTCGTCGTTTGTGTGTCGCATGTGTTTTTTCTATTTTGTCGAGTGTGAAGTGTCCATCATGTCGCAGGTGTGTGCAGCAAGCCCCCATCAACTCAAGAAGAATTTATCTTGCAGATCCAAGAACAAGAGCTCAAGATTTCAAGCCCAAGGGACGCGGATAAATATTAAATAGTGAAAATAGTAACGCTACTTCGTGTAGTGTTACATTTCACTTGGTGTAGCCCCTTGGAGGGTTGGTTTCGAGACTCTTCATGGTTGGGGACTCTGTGGTGGTGTACCACCAACCTGGACCTCGGCTCTGGGGGTATGTAGAGGCTGGGAACCATCTCCCTCTCGAACTCTTCTTGCTAAGTTTGTACTCCTAAGACTATAGTGGCTGCTATACCTCCTGCCAGTCAAACCGCCATAGCGTCGTCAAATCTTCATGGAATTTCATGATTCAACTTGCTGCTGATAGACAACAGCAACGCGCTCCAGATCCAATTTACAGATCATCGTTTGAGTCCGCCAGCAGATCGTTATCAATATTTGAAGCCGTCTGACGGAAATCCGACTGTGCTCTCTATCTCTCATTATTGGCACATCTGACCTATTGTGACTATAACAGAGGCGGATGGGGAGGTGGCACGGGCTGGGGTAGAGAGGGCAGCATTAGAGGGTATGGCCCGGGCCTATGCGCGGTCCATGGCCGCATGTGGTGCGGCACCGGGGGCAGCGGCAGGAGAGGCTGCAGGTATGGCAACTGCAGGGGCGGTTGCAACAGTGGCAGCCATCAGGACCACGGCAAAGGAGGCTGCCGCAGTAGGCACCGCAGGGTGTACTCCAGCGGAAGCTGCTATGGCAGAGGCAGAGCCAGGAGAGGCTGCAGGGGGGAATGTGGAAAGGCGGCTGCAGAGGCGGCAGCAGCACAGGCTATAGCCACAGGGGGAGGAACGACACCCATGGTAGGAGGGGCGGCTGTGGGGGCTGCCGCAAAGGCCTTTGCAGAAGTGGCAGCAGCTCGGGCACCGGCAGAGGCGCATGCACCTGGGCCGGCTGCAACGGGGGCGGCAGAAGGAGACCCTGCAGAGGCAGCAGCCGCTAGGGGTGTGGCCGCTCCAGAGAGGGCAGCAACGGGGGGGGTGGTCGCGGCGGTGGCAGCAGCAGCTGGGGCTGCTGCAGAGGCGGTGACAGCGGGAGCATGGGCAGCGGTGGCGACAGCTGGGGCCGCTGCGGAGGAGGCGGCAGCAGTGGATCATGCAAGGGGTGCATCGGCTCAGGCTCGGGCTCGGGATGCGGCAGAGGCAGCAACAGCAGGGGCCGCAGGGGCAGCCGAGGCAGATTTGGGAACAGCAGCAGAAGCAGGCGCCCTTGCAGAGGTGGCAGAGTTGGGAGCAGCGGTGCAGGCGGCGGCAGCAGCAGTAGCTGGGGCTGCCACCGCAGAGGAGGCAGCAGCAGCGGATCTTGGGATGGGCGCAGTGACCGGGGCTCGGGATGCCGCAGAGGCGGTGATGGCTGGGGCCGCTGCAGCGGCCAGGCGGCTGCCGGGGAAGCAGCCGAAGGATCCCTGCTGAGGCGGTGGGGAAAACAGTAGAGGCAGCAGCAGCAGCAGCGGCAGCAGCAGCAACAGGAGCACGTGCAGTGGCGGCTCAGGGAGAAGCTGGTGCGGCAGAGACAGGAGAGCCGCCGGAGACAGCAGCGGCGGCAAGGCTACCTACAGCAGAGGAGGCGGCAGCAAAGGGAGCTGTCTTACTTTCTCTCGCACGGGCTGTTTCTGGGGGGGGGGATGTGTGCACGGCTGGCAGCCGCTGCAGCAGCAGCGGAGGAGGCAGAGGTAGGCACCGCCATGGGGAAGGCAGCCAGGGGGAGCGTCGCAGGGAAGCCGGCAGCAAGGGCTGCGGCAGGGAAGGCAGCAGTGGGAGCGGCGGCAGGGAAAGTAACAATGGGTCCCGCAGTTTCGAAGGCGGGAGCTAGCAGGGCCATGACAGCGGCGACGGCGGCAGCAGCTGCGGCGGTGACAGCTGACAAAGGAGCAAGAGGGGGTGCCGCACTGGGGGCAGCAGCGGAGGCGGCAGCAGGAGCCGCATCAGGGAAGGCTGCAACAAGTGCAGCAAGTGCAGCAGGAGGTGCTGCCAGGGAGGGAGCAGCTGGAGCGGCTGCAGCACAGCCAACAACGGGAGCAGCAGGCAGTGCTGCAAGGGAGGCGACAGCTGGAGCTGCTCCATACAAGGTAGCAACGGGAGCAGCAGGTGGTGCTGCAGGGGAGGCGGCAGCGGGAGCCGCAGCAGGGAAGGCAGCTGCACGTGCAGCAGGAGGTGCTGCCAAGGGGGCGGCAGCAGGAGTTTCTGCATGGAAAACAGCACCAGGAGCAGCTGGGGGTGCTGCCCGGGGGGCAGCAGCTGAAGCAGCTGTAGGGAAGGAAGCACACAGAGCAGCAGCAGGGGATGCCGCTTGAGAGGCAGCAGCGGGGGCAGCACCCGTGTCGGTAGTGGCCGACTCGTCTGCCTAACCTATCTCCCCCCCCCTTCCCCCTCCTCCTCCCCTTTCGTCCCGTCCGTCCTCCCCTTACCCCCCCACTCCCCATCGCAGGTCTGCAGGGGTGGATTCGAGGGAACCAGCTGGGCGAACGAGTGCAGAGCCTCCACCATCTACGCCCACACTCCCCTCCCGTCCCTCCGACCTTGTTTCGCCCCCGCGACCAGCCACGTCGGGCACCCGCCCTTGGCGGCACAAGGTGGGTGCAAGCGGGGTAGCCTGAGCCCTGGCGTTTCTGATAGAGCCTTGCTCTCCGGTGTCAGCCACCGAGGCTCAGCCGCAGCATTGCCGGCTCCTCCCCTCCCCCCCCCTAGGGCCGGGTGAATTACGCGAGGCGGCCGTCGAGGTTCGGCCGGACGAGGAGGGTCCACTCTCTGGATACATCCAAGCCGACCCAACGCTCTCATGCTTCCCCCCGCCAGAGCTTGCGCCAGAAGGAGCAAGACAGCCCACGGGGGTTCCGATCGCCTCCTCCCCCCTCCCACCCATGCAGGTTGGCGCTCCGGCAGCCCCAACACGGGTGGAAGCCTCAGTCCAACCCTCCTCGCTATGCCCCTCCCCATCTTCTGCCACAGCAGGTGCCCCCCGCATTGACCATGGCACATGCCCTGGCGGCCAAAGGGGCTCTCCCCACAAGAAGGGCAAAAACGGCGAACTGTCTCGGGGGAGAATTAACCCGAACTAACTCCCTCTTGGCCCGTGCCGCCTCACCGTGTCAAATCCCACCTCACATGCCCCACAGCTGAGCCTCCAGCAAGGCGCAGCCATCGAGGGCCTCACTCCGCTTCCCTTCCCTACGGCCCAGCCTATCACACCCCCATCTCATTCCCCCCGTACCCCTCCCACGCATCCCACCCGGGACCCTCCCTCTACAATACAGCCCTCACTCCCCGCCCGCCCCCTTGTACAAGCACCAGGCTTCGTGTCCCGCCTAGCTGCCCCGATGGGGGTGGAAGCTGCGCACATTCCAGCCGCACCAGCTCTGACCCAGGGTGTCCCATCGACTCATGACCCCACTCTCGCAGCTCAACCGGCTCTCTTGCCATGCCCGCTTGCCCTCACCCAGCCCGCTACCGCCGTCATCGGCGATGCTCGAGCGACCCCCATATCTCACTCTCCCCCCCCTCCCGCACCAGACACGCTCTGGTGGCTAGGGGCCAAGCAGTTGAAGCCAACTCCCCAACCGGGATGGACATCGACCCAGAGTCAGTAGTGGCCCCGCATGATGCCTCCTCCAATCTGTATGTCCCCCCTTTCCATCGTATTGCGCAGGCAGCGACATCGGCCAACGCCGTGGAGGAGGGAGGCGAGGAGGGCGCTAGAGCGGGGATGTGTTCCGAGAGCGGTGTGGCCAATCCCACCTCAGCTACCACTCGTCTCCTTCCCCCCGTTCCCTCACCCACCCCAGCCCCACCCCCAGGACGGCTCGGCGCGCAAGCGCAAGCGCACGCTCACCCCACGTAGTCACCCATTGTCGGTGACCAAGCCCCCTCACCCTCCCAGCCATCCCACCCCCAACTACAGCGGAGGGTGGTCACCCTGCGGACCTCGGTGGGACGACCTGTCGGACCCGTACAGGTCGCCGAAAGGGGAGCAAGACCAAAGGGGCATCGGGGACAGCTCGGCCGCCGGGGCAGACGGACACAAGCTCAGCCGAGATGGATATCGATACAGAGGCGGAGGGAGCAACTCCAGCACCTCCCAAGCAGCCCTACACCCCCCCCCAGTGTCGTCCTCCCCCTCCCATCTCTTCCTCCCCCCCCCGCCCACATAATTCCACCCAGGTCCAGGACCGAGACGACCCACCCACCATGACCAACCAACCCGCCCTCCTTCCCCCACCCACAGGCGGACAGTCACAGGGGGCGGACTGGGAGACGGAGGCAGCAGTCGCTGACCTGCTCGGGATCTGGAGCATGTCTGCTACCCCCTCTGCGCCCCCTCTAGGCCCAGCACCCTGGGCCGCGGGCGACCTGGCCAACGACCCCCATGCCGCCCCCCCCTTTTCTCCCTCCACAGCCCTCGCACCAGAGCGGATGGCCATCGACGACTCAGACGCGCCCCTTGCCCCCCCACTTGTCCCAGGCGGGACTACACGTCTAGGCAACTGTACCTACGCTCAGTCAGCACACACGCACTATGGCCCTCCCCTCGAGCCTGATGCACCCCTTTCCCCTGCTGCCATCCCTCCACCTCACACGGCCACAGCTCAGGCTCCTATGGTCCCCCCTCTTAGCTTACTTCCTGTAGGAGAGTTTTCGCACCCTAGTGCTGTAGACCCTCACCCCCCACCC